TTTTTATAAAAAATAAAATAAAGCGCAGTTAAGTCTACGAAAATGTTGAGTACCTTCACAAAAATGTCTCACTTAATGCAATTTCTCTTTTACAATTGCCAGCCAAGCGCTATATTAGCTCATTTTTCAAACCACTAAAAAACAAAACAAAAATTGAAAAACAATGCGCATGCAGATACGACTGCACAATGAATCCATGTGTACCCACACATACGCACACACTAGAACTTACATGTATACATATGAGATATTTATGCACAATGAGCATGAGCGAAAGTGACCCAAAAAAACAAAAGGCTTTCTGCCTGTTGGAGCTGAATAAGAGATTGTGAATAAATTGCCCTAGTTCGCAACGCCACTTGACACAATATTTGGGAATAGAATGCACAAAATTTAGAATAGACCCTAAAATGAATTAAAATTTTGTTGCTGTTCGATCTCTGTCACAGGCAGCTGCTGTTAATCAATTTAGCTATTAGATTTCGGCTTTCACACGGCCAATCGATCAATTTAGCTCATCCAGTTTCAATTACCGGAATTCCGTGTGAGTTGACCACAGTCAAATATGGGTTGAAATCATGTGATTTGTAGATACTTACCGAAAATAGAGAGCGAGATCTGAAAAGTATGAAATGAAATTGGATCTGTATTAGTTTTCGAAAAATGAGTTGAATATATATATTTAGAAAAATACTTAAAAATATTTCATTGTTTATACATACAAAAGCTTTGAATTAAGACACAGTTTTCTATTTAGTTCAGATTTATAATATAGAAACTAAATGAAAACTTTCAGCACTAGGAAAATTCTTGGAGTACAATTAAATTGCTGAGAGATTTTTCCTTTTTTACTGAAACCGCTATAAATAGCAGCCAATTAGCAGTTACTAAAAAAACAAAAAAATATAGCATAAATAGCTTAGACACACCCACTCACACACACACCCACACACATACAGTTGAACTATGGAAAAGAAAAGGCACATCTGCATCCCGGGCTGTGAAATGTGAAAAGCTCGCATTTATGCAGTGCAGGGTAAAGACTTTTTGCATGTTGCCTGGTTACTTGTGTGTATGTGTGTATGTGTATTTATATCTATTGCCCTGACTTGTTAAAGGACACTCTAAAGGCACTGAATCAGCGCCTGCAGTCAGCCCAAACAAAATAGCGGTTTTGCGTTGCGAAATTGTTTACTTAAAGTTTTCATTTCGAGCGCGATTTTGCAGCAGGGACTACCCCTAATGGATGCACCAAAAGCCAGCGTCAATTAAAATATGCAATTTAAAATCCTTTTCAAAAACTCATTGCATGCTGATTATTGATGAGCATGGGCAGAGCAGCAGCAGCAACAGCAGCAGCAGCTTCAAAATACTCCGCAGCGCATAATTAACTCTGAGAGCAATATTCGCACAGCTTACTCTGAGCATTATTTATTACATGCAGAGGCTCTAGTTTTCAAATTAAAATACAGTTTTAAAATATTAATGGGTTTTACTTTACACTTTTATATTGTTCTTGAATGCAAATAAATTAATGGGAGTTAAATTTTACACTTACTTTTCAAAGTAAAAGTGGAGATATCAAAATGCAATCAAAAAAAAAAAAAGTTTTAATGAAAAAAATATATAGATATAACTATAG